GCTGCTGCTGCTACAGCAGCAAGAACACGCAAACTGTTGTTATCTCTGCTTGTGGAGCATCTGCTGCTGCTGCTGCTGCTGTTGCTGCTGCTGCCTCTGTTTCATCTGCTGCTTCTTCTCTTGCTGCTGCTGTTGCTGCTGCTGCTGCTGCTGCTGCTGCTGCTGCTGCAGGCCTTCAGTGGTTCTGGTCTGCAGCCTGAGGCTCTCGTTGCTGCCTACGGGTTAGCAGAGCACTGCCTCGCCGTCACCGATCGCCGCCGCATCAGCAGCAGCAGCAGCAGCAACAGCAGCAGCAGCAGCAGCAGCAGCAGCAACAGCAGCAACAGCAGCAGCAGCAGCAGCAGCGGTACAACACCTTGCTGCTGCCGTCCTGCTGCTCCCCTGCTGCTCACCTTTGATGCTGCAGAATTCGAAAAGGTAAATACACACATCTCCTGGGGGCCCCTCTTGGGGGCCCCCCTTGGGGGCCCCCCTTGGGGGCCCCCTTGAGGGGCCCCTGCTGCTGTGTAGTTTCCCTCGTTACCCCTTTTATGGGGCTGTGGGCTGAGGGGTATCTGGTTGGGGTGTATAGGCAGCTAGCTGAGGTGTATAGGCAGCTGTATTTGTTTGTGCAGCAGGTGGTGAGGTGTATGGTTTTTTTTTTTTTTTTGAGGGTTTAGGGTTTAGGGTTTAGGGTTTAGGGTTTAGGGTTTTGTTTGTTTTAGGGTTGGGCTGTGCCTGCTGAGGAAGCAGCAAAAGCAAAGACAATAAAACACGTCAGCTGCGGCCCCCCCAACTACGGTGTATACAGTAAGCAGCAGCAGCAGCAACTGCAGCAGCAACTGCAGCAGCAGCAGCAACAACAGCAGCAGCTGCGGCACCAACTGCAGCAGCAGCAGCAGCAGCAGCAACAGCAGCTGCAGCAGAACCAACAGAAGCAGAAGCAGATGCAGAAGCAGCAGAAGCAGCAAGAATAGCAACAGTAGAGACAGCAGAAGCAGCAGCAGCAGCAGTGCAGCAGCAGCAGCAGCAACAGCAGCAACAGCAACAGCCAATGCAAGATCCCACTCGCTAGCCCCACCGTAGTCCTCCCCTCTGCCGTTTATATGTTTTCGCTTGGTATTTCTCCTGCTGCTTC